CACACACACACACACACACACACACACACGCGCGAGCGATTGCATGACCTCCGTTTGCGCGGAGGTAATAAGGCACACGGAAGCAAGATGAAATAAATTGGTACGGTATCAGAACGGAATTCTCATAAACATCACGAGCAACAACTGCGCGTACGTGCGTACGTGATGACGAAATTACGCGCAGACGAAGACAAACATTAAATGGCTGCACGTAACCATCATGCGACTATGATGCGTACGCTATGCTGTGATGACGCAATGACGCAGACGAAAACAGACGTTAAATGGCTGCACGTGCCTATGGCTGATAGGGTCAAGATAGGGTCTATGTCTCCCTGGGTACTGACGGAACGTACCCTGGTAACTATCTGATATGGTTAGGGTTAGGGTTAGGGTTAGGGGGTAGGCGTAGGTGAGTCCGTGACTCCCTAGACTCGTTAGTGGAGTAGGCGAGGTACGGTGCGGCATATTAGATAGTACCAGGGTACGTTCCGGTATACCGGACCGTACCCAGGGTACGTTCCGGCAGTACCCAGGGAGACATAGACCCTGGCAGCGTAACGCTGTGACGAGTAGCGCAGCGTAACGCTGGCAGAGTAACGCTGCGACTATGATGCGTACGCTATGCTGTGATAACGCAATGACGCAGACGAAAACTTACGTTAGACGAGTATAGTTGTACATCTAGAAAGGAAAAGCAGGTCAGTTGCGTGTTTCAGAAACCGACTACAGCCGCAATAGCTTCAGGGCCGTATACAAACATGTCCTCTATGCGCGCACACGCACGTTCTATTATTAGTAGTCCACCACCATTCAAATTCTATAGGTTCACTGATCGAACACAAAACTGGTTGCAATTTGAGGTCATACGCAGCTGTGAAAAAGTTGAGTTGTCGCAAAAAAAACTAGTTTATAGATAACAGCGATATAACCTATGAATACGGAGATTTATGTGTTTCTATATACATATAGAATTTATATATATTATTTATTGTGGACGCATATTGTAAATTATAGTGTACTTTTATAGACAGCATGTGTTCCAAGAAATAGTCACTGTCCCACAACAAGTAGGAATATTTTTTTCTGCTAAATTCATGGTCCCTAATTCCTGCCTTCCACCATAGAACCTTCGGAGAGTAACTCCGTCCCTAACGTTAATGATTACCGCTCCTGTAACGGCCGCTAGGGCCTACTCACCAGAACTACTCGTCAGTGTAGCGAGCGCAGCCAAGCGTAACATGACGACTGGTATTATACAGGTTACTCCGTCCCCAATCGAAGCGCTCGTTTGGCGTGGCGCCATCTATCGAACGAAATCAACGCAAAAGTAGAAACAGCCCGCTTTATTCACTATATTATTGAATAATCAGGAGAGACCGTTATTATTCTTACATATTAGTAGATCAGATAGATGGACAGTTAATATTAAATAAGGTAAAATAACACACATAATGATATAAAGACGCCGTACCAGTTTAATTGTTAAATTTTTAAACCTACTCTTATTTCACAGGCATCGACTAAAGTGATGTATCGCTGTGCATGGCACGGATGCGGAATGCTTCTACACACTGACAGGTCTATAGCCAGCCACGTGAGAGAGGTTCACCTAGGGTAAGCCAGCCTGCATTTACACTCTCGTTCCTTAGCTTTAGCTCTTCGATCCCTATCTTTATCATCTCCTTGTAATCATAATAGTGCATGCAAGCACTATTATGCGATTTGAATTACTCATCATCATATTCATTACTGATCAATTACTGATTCAATTACCCAATGCAATAAAACAATGCATTTATTGTCTTATCGCGAGCTTGAACTTTAATTATAAAAGAATAATTAAGCTTTCAGTGCCCTGGTTTGCACACGGTTTAAACCAGAACAATGAAATTGTAAGGAATTATATATACTGAAGTTGGTTAATTGCCGTACAAGGCCGTAATATGAGGAAATTCCTAGTGGATGTGGGGAGCAAATTTTCGTGACTCAGCTGCGTAATGAAGAGAGAGGGTCGCAGCTCCCAATCAACGTGCCTAGTGCGGCGGGGGTGCGTGTGGGACGAGTGATTCACAGATGCCTATACATCACACACATATTATTACATTGTATGTACACATATTCGACAGTTATTTACATTTATTCGACTTTTATTTTATTTTTGTTCAAAACTTGTGGCGCAGCTGCAAGATTGTCCCCCCATCAGAGTCTACGGTCAACAGTAAAACATTTGCTTGCTGAGTACATACATAGCAATACATAGCTCATTGCATGCATAGTATCAAGAGCGTATTAAGTATGCTTATTAAGTATTAAGCGTACTTAATACGCTCTTGATACTATACATAGCATCAGGAGTGTATCAATACATGATAGCATATATTGATACACTCCTGATAGCATAGATAGCAATACATTGCTGAGTAATACATATCTCATTGCTTTGTGCCGCGTTGCAACTTGCCCTGCGCGTGTAGGCGGGTAGCCCCTTCTCTCGGCAAAGGTGGTGCATAACGGCGCTCCTACTGCTGAGCGAAGGGTCAAGGAGAGCTCTAGTACTACATCCTCCGTTAGCTCTACCACGGGTGCCTGTGGCAGTGTGTGTGCCTATCTGCTAGTGGTCAGTGGAAGTGTTCTACCTGTGGCAGAGACAACGAGTGTTAACGTAGTAGCGCTTACCACACGGGTCTTTCTTCTTAGACCCTTAATTCAGTCTCCTGAGAGACACAGGTCGCTGGTGAACTTCCTACATGTCCCTCGGTTGATTGCCTTTTTCACTACACGGGTAGAGGCTGCATATATTGTACAACACGACGTCGCTGCTTGCTTCTATAGGCGAAAGAAACATGGCGGCGGAGACTCGGACATGAGCGATGACAACGACGACCACGAAGAAGAGTTCTACTACACAGAGGAAGAGGTGGGCGTAGATATACCACTGAGACATGGTCAGTCCCTCTCCCCCACACCCATCACCGGGGAGGCGGCCGGAGCACCACTGGAGCAAGACCCCATTTTCAAAGAACACCAGTACGGTGAGTATTAATTCTTGGCCACCGTCCGCTAGTAGGGGTATCACCAATTTAATTTCGTTTATTGAATTAATTACTCATATTCGCTAATCAATATTAATTCATTAATTACATCAGGAGTTATATCAGAAGTAGCTTCAGATTATTTACTCCTGATAATATTGATAGTCTTAATCAATAAATAATAACTGATAATTTAATAACAAAAACGATTAACTAAGATCGGGGCAGAGATATCTTGCTAGGACGGTGTCAGACGTAGGGGGAGAAACGCCCCTTGGGGAAGGGTTCTTGACTCCGATACACCCTTTCCAATGCCGGTTAGAGGGGAGCACAGCAGTTCATAGGTATTTGCGTCACATTTGCAGGAGCAAGACCTTGCCACGCAGCCCCAATACCCATTCCACTGGTGCAGAAATCTCTCTCGTGGCAACCTTCGTCAACAAACTACTTGGGGGTGAGTCATCATCAAATCTTCTAAACAAATCAAACATTAAATAAAAAATAAAATTAAGTTTTGCCAAGCAGTGATATATTAACGATGATATCAAAGGGTGATCGAGAATTAAAAAAATGTGTTAACAATTAGTAATATATGTATCGTCTTTTTATAAAACCGAGTAAAGCCGAAAAAGTATTTTTTTACATATGATGGTACCACATGGGTCATCGAAGATATATAAAAAAAGATGTTACTTACTAGTAATATATTTTTTTATAAAACTAAAGCGAAGCGGGAAAATTTCATGATTTTTTTTTACATTTCTATGCAGTCGCCTCACAGCCGCCGTCAGCTGTTTAACTATGGCAGCAATTCCGTACGCTCCTCGCCGATGCATAGCTCTTCCTCCTCGCTCAAGTGCGTGCCCCTGAGCAAGAAGTCGCGTGGGGAGATGCGCAAGTGTCGGAAGGTCTACGGCATGGAGAATCGCGACCAATGGTGCACGCAGTGCAAGTGGAAGAAAGCCTGCACGAGATTCCTAGAGTGAAGCGAGGAGGTTCGTCCCAGCTGCCGCCGCCGCCGCCCCGGTCGATGACGTTCGCAGTTTTTTAAGAGCGTAAACTTCGGAGATGAAACGACTCGACTTTTGTAAATTCCCGTACAGCGAAAAGATGCTCATCTGAGTGTGCACGGCGCGTGCCTGCGTGCGTGCGTGCGTGCGTAGCTTCGCATAATTGGTCGTACCGACGCGGTGTTGTTATCGGCAACCCTAGCCGCTACCTAATCATGGCGGTGGCTTGTTTGGAATGTACGTTCCTGTACATTTCGTTCGCGAACCAAACTTCTAAAAAGATTGTACGGCAAATAGGTACCCTCAAGTGGTGACCCCAAGAAAGAGCAGAAGTTGTAATTGCTGCTGTAAAAGAGGCTATGAGTGTAAACTATCGTTCACCATTGTGTGTGCCTCGATCTCGCTCCCACGACTACCATGCTGCTGTGAAGCATGCATTACATGCTGCAAGTAACAGAAATGAGTATTTCGGTCTCGCGTCTCGTTGATGTTAGTAAATAGCCACAACCGCCTTATAAATTACAGGGAACAGAGCGAATGGTGTTCACGTTAGCAAACACCTTGATGTAATATGACCTTGACGCATCGCGATCTATATGGGCGCTACGTCCTTGAAATCGTAAACGCTCAAACATGCCCTATATTTCACACCGAGATACGTGGCAGCGTCTATCTTATAGGGATATTCCCTTCCGATCAACACAGGGAGACTTGAACTGTGTAAATTTTGTATAGAAAGACCAATGGACACATTTTAGTTTCATACAAGTTCTCTCACTGGTGAGCTCAATCTTGTAAGACTGTACAAAACACTACGACCAGCTCCAGCTATACGATCACGGACTTATGCATATCACCTCAATATACACAGGTTCGTGATACAACTGCACGTAAGGAGTGAAAAGTTGCAATATGTGGTTTTCCCTGTAAAATACGTGAAGAGAGATTTTATATACCGTACCTTGTTGTAAGCGTCTACTAGTTTAGTATTTGATGTATTATATCTATATCGTTGTTATAAAGTGAAGAAGCAAACCCTTGACATAGAGAGACATAGTGTGTGTGTGTGAGAGAGAGAGAGGGAGGAGGATCTGAGAGGAGCGGAGACGAGAGAGAGCAGGAGAGAGCGCGCGAACCGTGCCTTCGCGCGCGATAGGGAGGGGTCGAGATGAGGGTTGTGAGACTGAGGGAGGATCACGGGGGCAGGGAACCCTGAGGGAGGAGGGGGAGACAGAATGAGTAAGAGCAGACAGAGAGAGATTGCAGAGATAGAGAGCAGATTGAGAGATAGAGAGCAGAAGAGAGAGAGAGAGAGAGAGAGAGGACGAGACGAGAGAGAGAGAGATAGGGCGGGGATTTAGAGGAGGCAGACGAAGGAGAGAGAGAGGAGAGCCGAGAATAGAGACGGAAGGAGATCTGAGAACTCGACGAGCATTGAGAGCTCGAGAGCGAGAGAGATGAGAGACGGTAGAACCGAGACAAGGAGAGGAGAGAGAGAGAGAGAGAAGAGAGAAAGAGCAGAACGACGAGAGCGCGCAGCTGAACGAGAAAGAGAGATGAGTCAGATTTGAACTAGAGAGAGAATAACGAGATGGAGAGACAGTTGCCACCGTCTTATTTATATGCTCAGGAGTCTATCATATTGATAGACTACCTGATAGTATTGTTAAGATAGACTTCTATGGCAGCTGGTGATATGCTTTCTGTTCACATTGTAACTGCATTGGTCCGGTGCGACGGAAAGAGGACGAATTAGCAACATGTGTTTCTCTGGTATCCTATTATTAGATATTAGCTTATAGACTTGGCTGTAAATCTGTCTTGGGAGTACTGTGTACATTTGTATAAGATTTTTGTATAATAATTGATATGTTTAGTACTTTATTGTGCGTATTGCGCTTATCAGTATTATAATATATTTCGGACATGAAATCTTTTATAGGCTTTTGGGGAAGCAGTCATGTTGGTTCGACCAGCATAGCCCACAAAGGCTGCCAGCCACAAAATTTTTACAATCCAAATTATCCTCTGATGATGAAATGTATCTTCTCTTTCGTAAAAAACAAATACCAATTGTCTTGTCTACGACTGTTTTTCGTTACAATGAGTAGTCACGCGCGAGAAATGCGGCTTCAAAGTGGTTATTTTACAAGCCTAAACTGAATGTGACAACCAGTCTTTAGTATTGATAAAGCTCAGCGAGTTATGAGTTTTCAGTTATGTCACGCCATGAGTTTATGTTTACATGTGACGTTGTATTTCGTATGAAGGATAGAAGTATTTGTCATTTCTAAATATAACAGGCGTCTCAGCCATCCTGTTTAAATGAGGCGCGAGATCATTGATTCGAGCGAGCAAGGCAAAGCATGTAAATCATGTGCTTTACTGTACACAGAACACGTGCTAATCATATGCATATTACGTGCTCTGGCTGTATGATATGGAACGGGCTCTTGGCTATACATATATGTCATTATACAGTGCAATGTCCAAATACAAGCAGCTAGTTCTAACACAATCATCAAATTCTTAGCTAGCTACTAAACGAAATGGAAAAAACATTCCAATTTCGCGATTATCGTGTTCAAAACAATCTATCACACTGCGTTACAGCACACAGAGACAGAAGCCCGTTGAAAAAAATATATTGCCTAGAAATAAATTGATTGGCAAATACCGTGAAAATTTGTCTTATTATAATAAGAATACGCCACTGTGATAAAAATATGATCATAGAACAAGTAACAGACGAGTAGAAGCGGCGGCAAACCACCACGTTTGGGAATACAAGGCCGTCGTTGAATACGGACGGGAGAATGGCATATTATATATATATATATATATAATATATATATATGTGTGTGCTATATCTAAGTCTTTGATAACACTTGTTTACTGGCATGACTTCAATGTCCATTGTCACAATCGCAAACCAATTAAATCACCGAGTATTCGCTGGACAGCGTAAAAAAAGAATACCTAAATGTTTACATAAAAACTGCGAATTGCTCATGCAAGTCCGAGGACGGACGCTATTTACAACACAGGTCGGGACATTGCGGAGGGATCACTACATAACATACATAGCAGAGTTATTATATGGCTACGCTACTACAAATACACCACGACGGAAAAACAAGATCGGAAAAACACTAAGAGGCGTATCAGTAGAGACACGCGATCGGCTATAATTGGGTTGCGCTCTTGCTAATGTTGAGGACGCGTCCCTAAGATGTTGAGCAATGTTACACGGAGGGGCGGGGAGGGGACTTGATCACTATGTCTACGACCCATTACATAAGGGAAGCATAAAACAGCAGTAAAAGAAAAAAAAACTAGCTTTTTAGAACTCATTGCAGCATAAATACGCAGAGCACCACATGATACACGGACTAAGGTTTTGACACACAGTTCGAGTTCACACTGCAAGCCGCAAGCACCTTATTAGCTTGCCTTGTCCATCACGCACGCAACAACGTTGACCAGTCACCTTAACGCCGGTCCAGAGGATTAGTTTCCTATACCCGTAGACTAGCAGTCACAATCATTGAAAACTATTCCCGATACTGCGTTCGGGACTGCCACTTTTCCGAGGGAATGGCCAGTAGTGCGATTCGGAACTGTTAATCCTTTTGCATGCATTATAAGAAATCATTCACATAAATACAGAAATAAGTACACACGAGAGGAATCGTAGGCCACGCGCTAAAGTAGCCGCCGCTGATATTTACTTGTCGGGATTACAGTGAGCGTAGAGCATGAGACGGCTAACAAACGAATGCCAGGGCATGGAATCCATTGGCTCCTCTGATCAAAAGCCAATTTACACCTCCAGTCGAAATTTCGAGTGACAGCAAGGTGTGACAAGACATCACATTAACTTGCCGATGAGAGTTAAACAGATGCAAAGTAACATTGCAAAACGGAGCAATCACTGGGATAATACAACACGTCACCGCCATACCTACATTGCCAGCAAAATTGTGCGTATAAAAAGATCTCAACTTCCCACAACTAAACATCGCCTCTACTTTTTCGACCGAGATTTATTTTGGCACTAAAGTGTGCTCGTGACAGAACGACACAATGGGACTAGAACAGAGGGCCGTCATTTTGTCATCGGGAACTTTCTTTTAACACAGGGAAAAACACTTCATGGTAGCAACACATACACCTCCTTTCTATCTCCATTACACAGACCTGCCAACCTGTGATTCATGAAAATAGTAAGGCTTTTCTTTTCTTGCAGCAGGCAGCCATTTTGTTTGTATGTTATGCGCGCAATGAATGATGGGACTAACTCTAGATCAATAGTTCACGTTGTTCTCGCGGGATCCAATATGGCTGCGCCCACAATCGCCAGATATTTCTCGGCTCACAATGTCAAAAATATTAATTTTCACAAGTCGTAAAAAATCGTAAGTTTTTCAGTTTGATCGTACATTCGTAGAAACATCATGGAATTCGTAAGGAATACGAAAAAATCGTAAGGGTTGGCAGGTCTGCATTAACAGCATACATATAATTCTAACAACACATAACAAACGAACGCGACCCGTCCATCAACTCCCACATTTCAATGGACACTCCTCACCTTTGACATTACCTACATCTCCAAAACATACAGCAATAATTTTCTCACCAAGTTGAGCACCGAGAATTAAGCCACACTGCAGACCATGCCTACAGTAGTTTTTTACCACTCTAATTCAAGGCTACCCTACCTCTCGAGTCTCAACATCTTCTTGCTAACATGTTACTGCAGCCGTGAGTGACTTTGTGATTGGGCAGTAGGATTACGCAGTAGACTTGGATGCTAGCTAACTAGTGAAGGGTCAGCGTACCTTCTACGAACATCTGATCGTCGCTGACATGCGCTTCCAACTAACAGCTCAGCTCACGATCTTCCACGTGTACCCGAAACAGCCTGCTAGTGAACCAACTTGTCTCTACTTGTCTGCACTTGTCTCTACACAACCCCGTAACGATTGCAGCAAGCAACTCATTACTTCCCTGCGATTCGGAGCCCATCACGTTCCAGTCTTTCCCTTCGCAGCCTTCGACCTTCGTTTGACCTTACCGGGGCTTCCCTGCTCGCCGTTCTCCACGGGATTCGAGTCGACGTACTCCTGCACGAAGTTCAAGCTGCGAGATTTCTTCGGCGAGCTCTCCCGGGCGGCTGCTTCCGCGCGCTCGTCGGCCTGCCTGAGCCTCGCCTACACGCGCAACAAAGAGGAGAATCAGACTACTGTCTCTCTCACTGCACGCACTCTGCATCCAGGCTTCAGGAAAACACAGGTGTGCATCGTGCTGCCTGAGCTACGGTCGGACTCAAAACCCTCTCGATATTATGACCCAGCTTGATTTTCAATCGAAAGACGATCCATGTTCTATTTCAGTAGGTGTACACATAAGGAAGAAAAGGACTACATATGAAGCAGGTAAAGAAAGCAAGGAAAGTCCATTTTATCGGTTACTTACCGGCATCACGTCAAAATCCTTTTCCGTAAAGCAAGGATACAACAAAACGTAACCATTAAATGTGCTATAGAGAGTATTTTATACAAAATGCCTCTGCAAATTTATACATAGATTGTCCTACCATCATAAAGCATTCGTGCTTTTTGGGGAACATGACAGATACATATATCAAAGTTAACATAAAGACAGCTGGCAAACAACTTACATTCTGCCACCTGGCGTACTCAACACACAGGTACACGCAGATCACGCTCAGTGCCATCTACAAAAAAAAACAAAAAAACAAATGCACAGCTGTTAGTTCAAGAATTACAGTAACCAATGTTACGAATAATGAGCGATTCAAGAATTACATGTACAGTAACTAATGATGAGAATAAGAGGCGATTCGTATCGGCGTCGAGGCGGACACAGCATGGGAAGCTGGATCGATGTAGAGTGTACCCACCATGAACAGTAGCCAGCCGACGATGCTCGTTGCCTCGGTGAGAGCGAACAAGTCAGCACCAAGCTTCACGCAGATGAGAGCCTCCGTGAGAGTGACGGCGCTGGAACGCGAAGAAAGCCCCGAATCACTACAACCTGCAGTTATAACTATCAACTAACTAGTTTTATCACTAAAAACTGCATCAAATCTTGCAGTTACATCTACAGAGAGATAGGTGTCAACTGATCGTATGAGTCAGCAGTAACGCGAACGCAGTCATGAGTGATGCAGATACGAACCCACGTGTCTAGCATGTACAAACGTCTAGAGGTGCACCGTTCCAGCCGGATCCCCAATTTTTCAAAGTTCCGGTTCCGGCCGGAACCCTTCAGGAACAGTCGGCTGGAACCGGAACTTTTTCCTAATTTCATTTCTGCTACAAGCGTCATCATGATCAAAAGATCAGTCACTGAATGTAGTTGAGCATCAATAGAGTCAACTTGCTGACAATATAGTGTTAACAACTTCACACTATTCTGCCCAGAAAACGTTTGCCACTTCTTGAACATCGCCTAACTAACTGAACTGAACCTAACTGATGTTAGGTGATTCACGAGATTTTCTTTTAAAATAAAATACTCTTAGAGCCACAGGAATGGGGATTATGGCATCTGTTTGTTAGTTGAAAATAATCGATGAAAACCAGGGATACTGCAACATGCAGGTTTTGCCACACAATTCACTCGCGAATAAGATGCCAGAATTACGCACTGTAAGCAGATGATTCATACAACTAACAACCATCCTGTAATTAGACCTTTGTAGCATTGAGAACAATGAGAACAATGTAGAATGTGAACATGTAGACTATGAGAACATGTATATAATGAGAACATGTAGACTATGAGAACATGAGAACATGAGAACATGAGAACATGAGAACACGAGACATAATGAGAACACGAGACATAATGAGAACATGAGACATAATGTCATTATGAGAACATGAGACATAATGAGAACATGAGACATAATGAGAACATGAGACATAATGAGAACATGAGACATAATGAGAACATGTAGAACAATGAGCATTGTCCTACTCGCCTGAGTGATGTGCCTGCTAATAATATTTCGTTCAGGCCGAGTGAGTTTGCGCAATACTGGGCCAATTAAAACTCTCAAGTTTATTTCCAGCTTAAGTTCCGGTTCCGGCCAGGTAGTTCTGGCCGGAACTTTTTTCCAGTTCTGGCTGGTTCTGGTTCCGCCTGGAACTTAAAAAGTTGGATCTGGTGCACCCCTACAAATGTCACTAGGACCAAGCCCAAATATAAGCGATATACACAAGTATACAATTCTATCTACATGCACACATGTACGTATATAGGACAGAGCTTTACGAGCTATCACGTAGATATAACAATGAACCTACAATACAGAAGAATTCAAACCACTATATAGACACTCCTCATACTCGTTTATCGACAGGCATCCAATTCTACGGAGGTGGTTTTCTTTTACCAATTGCCACTCGAGAAAAATGCCACGAATGTCCTTTATACACAGGTGACCATTCTACAGAGGTGGTTTTCTTTTATCATCGCCGCTCGACGGAAACGCCACGAATGTTCTTTATACACAGGTGACCGTTCTACAGAGGTAGTTTTCTTTTATCATCGCCGCTCGACGGAAACGCCACGAATGTCCTTTATACACAGGTGACCGTTCTACAGAGGTAGTTTTCTTTTATCATCGCCGCTCGACGGAAACGCCACGAATGTCCTTTATACACAGTTGACCATTCTACGGGTGTCCCGCACCACCAGTTGGACTGTATTTCTACGGGTCTAGAGCGTGCGAGCACACACGATGGCGACTAGAGAACGGCGACAATAGAACGTACCAGAACACCCAGCACTGTGTGCCGACGCGGCTGCAGTGTGGGTCCGTCACGTAGGTGTAGTACTGGCGCAGCGAGGGCGCGGAGATCGCCGCAATGAGCAGTATGCGGCCGACGCTGAGCGGATGCCCCGTCGGAACCTCCAGGATGTGCTTCAAGAAGAACGTGTTCAACTCCGCGATCTGCAACGACGAAAGCACACGTTCAATGACGAAGGCACGCGTTCCACGACGAAGGTATACGTTCAACGACGAAGGTATATGTTCAACGACGAAGGCATACGTTCAACGACGAAGGTATACGTTCAACGACGAAGGTATACGTTCAACGCTGAAGGCATATGTTCAACGACAAAGATATACGTTCAACGACGAAGGTATATGTTCAACGACGAAGGCATATGTTCAACAATGAAGGTATACATTCAAGCCGTCAGGCAATGTCAAGCATGCTTTATAGCAAGGTGCCGGTTCTATAGAGACGGTTTAACTGTATAACTGTCATTAAAGTGAAATAGCAAAAGTGTCCATTAAATTGAAGTGTCTGTTTTATAGAGACGGTTTTAAAACTGTATAACTGTTACCCTTGTGAAATGGTGAAAGTGTCCCTTATACCCCCGTCACACTGGACGGCGACCATCCGCGACCGTACGGCGACCAGAAAATGTACAAGGTCGCCGGCAAACGCGAACACAACGCGAGAAAAAGTCCCAACAAATTACAAACTTGAAAAAAAACCGCGCTCTTCCCGCGCCCTGTGCGATCATCCCGCGTTCTCACGGCGCGCCCGCCACGACCTCTCCGCGCTTATGGCGTTTCTAGGCCGGACCAATAGCGTGTTGTGTCCCCGAGATTTTCTGAAAATTTTAACCTGTAAGTTGAGGTGCGTTTGCTGATAGAAAATCAC